GATTCCTCACATCTGTTGAGGGCATTGCAGTAGCCATGCTTGGGCCGGCGCTGCTTTCGCCACCGGTAACCAAGGGAGACTGGAGCCTATTTTTCGAACATGAGCCTCTGCCTAACCCATGAACGCGGACCTTGTTAACCCGGGCGACGTCCGAGCCGGTATCATACTTAGATCTGGTTACTACCATAATGATTATCTCCACTGAATGTGGGTGTGTGGTCACTCTTAGCTTCATTTCTTCCCATAGACTTTACTGGCATGGGTGTCCCTACCAGGAGCTTGTGCTCCAGCCTGCATTGCCCTATGGATTAGTAAAATTACTGGGCTCTCCCACCACGACCAGGTGGTGACCACGGGAGAGATAAATTATCAATATTATAGCAAATTTATATAATGTTAGAGACGTTTTTCTGGAAGGAATGGAATGTTCCTTTTTGGCTGATGAATGAGCTCTGATATAATTTGTCAAGCTCTGTAAACAGAGTCAAAAGTCATTGCACCCTTTTCATTTCAGAAGTACTGAAGATATATTAATTTTGTCGATGTAATTATTACATAGGAAGTCATGCACAGATAAACGGATGGAACCTTTATTGGCTTTGAAAATCAATTTCAAAGACACTTGTAACTTTTTAGCGAGTAGAGATAACGTAAAAGTTCCTAAAACAATGTTAAAAATGAATATATCTTCAGTAGGGGAGAGCGGGGCTAAAAGTTCCCGTGGTAAGTTGTTCCGATTGAAATAGCTTCATAAGGAAAAAAAATAATAATAATTAGTAAATACGTCATGAAATAGAATGTTTCTGCGCATCGACGGCAGCTATCTTAGTTAGGCCAGTAACGTTCAGTACATTGGAAAAGGAGCCTGTACGTCACTGATCCACGTAAGTAAATATTTTCGTGTTTGATATTTTTGGTATATCTGGCGAATTTAAATAATTAGCGATTAGTTGTTTGGTATTTTTATTCAAAAATATATATGGTATCTTGATATAAACGCTAAAACCGTGTATGTCTCGTAACCTAATCTAGTAGTTGCTGTTTTAGACCCATGTGTTATTGGGGCTAGATGTTCCCTTCTTTGGGGGTATGTTGTGACCTTGGAACAACTTGCCCTAGTTCATCTGTACTGGCAACGCAGTAAAAATACAGTAATATTTTTTTTCTTTTGCAGTATGCGGACTTATATTCGAAAAACAACACGAGGTTCTGTATCTCAGGAGTTGATGCAAAGAGCTGCAGATGCAGTTATTAAAGATGGTAAAAAAATAAAAACTGTTGCCAGAGAATTAGATATTTGTCATATGACGTTATACAGATTTGTAAAGAAGTTGAAATCTGGAGTAGAAAACGCTGTGGTTGGCTACAAAAAAGTAAGATTGGTCTTTAGTGAAGAACAGGAAAACAAGTTAGCAGAGTATTTGTTAAAATGTGCAACAATTTTCTTTGGTCTTCTACCAGAGGAAGTGCGAAAATTAGCATATGAATGTGCACAGAAATTCAACGCCTCTGATATTCCACCATCTTGGCATGAGAATAAAAAAGCTGGTCCGGATTGGCTGACTGGTTTTTTAAAGAGAAACCCTCAACTCTCGATTAGAGCCCCGGAATCGACAAGTGCTAGCAGAGCATCATCTTTTAATAAGCACAATATTAACGAATTTTTTACAAAGCTAGGCACAGTGTTGGATAAATATAAATTTCCGCCCTCGAGAATATATAATTTAGATGAAACTGGCGTTACGACAGTGCTAAAGCCAAAGAATATGTAAAATATGTAAAAGGAATATGGTAACACGTTTAAGCTTCATTTATACTTTATTAATGTTTAATAAAGTATAAAAGTATTAACTTGAATCATATATAACAACATAATTTCGTAATATATGTTGTAATTATAAACTTTCTTTTATGAATTTCAGTATAAGGAAAGTAGAGTATTCACTTACAGGTTTGCCTGGGATAATGAAGAACATCGGTTGATTGGGGTTCTATTGTAATTGTGCTGAAATTTGAAAAAAAGTGTAGACCTATAAATTACCACTGTCGTCCGTCCGTCTGTCTATACAAGAACTTCCGATGCAAATCGAAAGTCACGTTATTTCAATTCAAAATTTCCCCTGAAAGCAGTTAATAGACGACAGGCACAACTGTGTTGTTAAAGAAAAAGTATGATGGTACAGGGACAAGACACTACAATTACAGTAATATGTTGAGGTGGAGAGCATATATTTTAAATGAAATAAATTAAAAATGTGATTAAAAATTGCAGTCGGGCATGTCACAATAAAATAATTCCTCGTTTTAATAATTAACTTTTGTAACTATGTTGCATAACAAAAGCCTCGAATTTAGTTTTGGCTTTAGATGCGGAATATCTTCGTAGTAATAGAACTCTTGGGGGAAAATGTCTCGGTCTCTTCTTCGTGATGCAAAATAGTGTCTCGTTAACAAGGTACTAAATCGTACCGTTATTGCACACGAAATTGTGCCTTTGCTACGATAATGAAATCATTCATGAGTGATTACAAGAAGCTAATAAATAATAAATCTTACTAATAAAGCGTTTTTCTTCGTTTTTTATTATAGTGCCTCTTTTTATTTTCTGGCTATACGAGGGGGTTTCAATAAGCAACGCCCTTTATTTTTTAAGCAAAAGTTTTAATGCATATGGAAAATACAGAATATACGAAATGAAATATGTGTGGATTAGGGTACTTCTTGTCATAGAAACCATTCAGGTTCAAGCACTTGTCCTAGCAGTGCCTCTGCTTGAAGATGCCTGCGTTGTAGAACACCATTTTCTGGCCATACAACCATCTGCGAATAGCCAATTTGACCTCCTCGTCGGAACGGAACCTCTCTCTAGCCAGCAATTTCTTCAAATGACCAAACGACACCGAGCAATTTTTTTGACAGCGTCTTCAAGCGAATGCGGCGGTTGCTTTGAATCGTTCGATCAACAGTGTTACGGAAAGATCTGGCAACACCAGAGGGAGAGCGGCACGTGCAAGACGGACGGCCCTGTTTAGTGTATGGGACTGGAGATCGTCCGGTCCAAGTATAACCCTGAATAAAGTATTCAGAGTAAGTGTTTGTATTCCTGTCTTAAGTGCGTCACAAACGGCGTATAAACACAAAGCAAACCATATAAAACATGGTGGCAGTGGATAATCAAGCCAGTAAAGGAAACGAGGCTTAACAAACACGCGCCAGCTTAACAAGTAATTAGAAACTTCGTTCAAAGGTTGAGCTGCGGCAGACAGACAGTCTCCTTTGTATATCAAAATAACGATTACTTTAAAGTAACAGGAAAAAATATATAATTAAAAAGCGAGATGAATAGTTTAACTCCTCCGGAACCATTTTCCATGGACACGTCGAATCCAGAAAATTGGAGTTTATGGAAGCAACGATTTGATATTTATGCAACGGCTATAGATTTACCTGCAAAAAGTATTCCACAGCAGAGAGCCATCCTACTCCATATTATCGGAGAGAAAGGCTTAGAAATATACAATAATTTCCATTTAGACGAAAATACCTCGAATCCGACAGTGGATGAAATCTTAGCTAAATTCACGGACCATTTCCAGCCGTATAAGAACACTATCTATAGTAGATATGTATTTTTCTCGCTTGTACAGAAACCAGAACAAACTGTAGACGAATTTGTAACAGAGCTATGTACAAAAGCTCAAGGATGTGATTTTGGCACCCTAACCGAATCTCTTATAAGAGACAGAATTGTCTTAGGCACACAAGATGATAGTATCAGACAAAAAATGCTGCAAAATCCGACATTAACATTGGCCAAGGCAATAGACATGACAAGAGCATCCGAACTATCTAAGCACCAATTATCTAAAATCAGGGCAACAGAAATAACAGTGAACAAAGTGAAAAGTCAGTTTCCAAGACAAAAAGATAAACCGAAAAAATCGAATACGTGTATGACGAATAAAAATAGTGTCAAGAATAAAAAATGTTACAAATGCCTAACTATACACGAGTATGGAAACTGTCCAGTTTTTGGCAAATTTTGTTATAAATGCAAAAAGAAAAACCATTTTTCTTCAGCATGTGAAGCGAAGAAAATAAATGAAATTGATAATACTAATTCCACCATCATCTCAGATGAGGAAGATTATCTATTGGATAGAATCGTTGTGCTGAATGAAGTCACGCATGAACACTGGGAAGAAGTAATTGAAATAAATGGGAATCCTACTAAAATAAAATTAGATACTGGAGCGGACACTAATGTTATTTCTTGGACGCATTTGAAGCAGTGGACCAATCCTCCAAAGATAAAACAGACCAAGGTCAAAGCCTATACCTTCACACGTGAGAGAATACCGATCGTTGGTGAATGTCACCTCCAACTCAAGTCTGGAAGCCATGAAACCACGAGCAAATTCCTTGTCGTCAGGACACGTGGGTTACCTCTATTGTGCGGAGATGCATGCAAAAAGCTAAACCTAATTAAAAGGATAAATTCTATTACACCGGAACTTAACCCAGAAAATATTTTGGAATCCTATTCCAGTGTGTTTGAGGGAAGTGGCAAACTTAAACATGAGGTTATAATCAAATTAAATCAAAATGCAATTCCAAAACTTGTCCCTCCTAGAAGGATCCCAGAAGCTTTAAAAACAGAAGTTAAACAAGAATTAGAGGATCTGGTTAGAAAAGGAATCTTAAAAAAGACAGAAGAAACTTCTAGTTGGCTCCATCCAATGGTTATTGTTAAAAAGAAACAAGGAAAATTACGCCTGTGTATGGATCCGCGTGAATTAAATAAATACATTATTAGAGATAATTATCAAATACCATCGCCAACAGAACTGTTATCAAGCATTCCAAAAGCTAGATATTATACAGTTATGGATGCTAAATCAGCCTTCTTTCAGCTACC